CGATATCTCAGCTCTGGAAGGGTCTAGAGCCTCCATTTTTGCACTCAGGTCTAAGTCTCATGGCCCTCTATCAGAATCCAGAGTTTTGAGAAGATTGGGGATACTTAATTTTTCGCCCAAAAAAAAAAACGTAAGGGGTAACACTGTCGTTTTTTTTTCGGGTCGAAATTTTGAGTTTCGATATCTCAGCTCTGGAAGGGTCTAGAGCCTCCATTTTTGCACTCAGGTCTAAGTCTCATGGCCCTCTATCAGAATCCAGAGTTTTGAGAAGATTGGGGATACTTAATTTTTCGCCCAAAAAAAAAAAACGTAAGGGGTAACACTGTCGTTTTTTTTTCGGGTCGAAATTTTGAGTTTCGATATCTCAGCTCTGGAAGGGTCTAGAGCCTCCATTTTTGCACTCAGGTCTAAGTCTCATGGCCCTCTATCAGAATCCAGAGTTTTGAGAAGATTGGGGATACTTAATTTTTCGCCCAAAAAAAAAAACGTAAGGGGTAACACTGTCGTTTTTTTTTCGGGTCGAAATTTTGAGTTTCGATATCTCAGCTCTGGAAGGGTCTAGAGCCTCCATTTTTGCACTCAGGTCTAAGTCTCATGGCCCTCTATCAGAATCCAGAGTTTTGAGAAGATTGGGGATACTTAATTTTTCGCCCAAAAAAAAAACGTAAGGGGTAACACTGTCGTTTTTTTTTCGGGTCGAAATTTTGAGTTTCGATATCTCAGCTCTGGAAGGGTCTAGAGCCTCCATTTTTGCACTCAGGTCTAAGTCTCATGGCCCTCTATCAGAATCCAGAGTTTTGAGAAGATTGGGGATACTTAATTTTTCGCCCAAAAAAAAAAACGTAAGGGGTAACACTGTCGTTTTTTTTTCGGGTCGAAATTTTGAGTTTCGATATCTCAGCTCTGGAAGGGTCTAGAGCCTCCATTTTTGCACTCAGGTCTAAGTCTCATGGCCCTCTATCAGAATCCAGAGTTTTGAGAAGATTGGGGATACTTAATTTTTCGCCCAAAAAAAAAAACGTAAGGGGTAACACTGTCGTTTTTTTTTCGGGTCGAAATTTTGAGTTTCGATATCTCAGCTCTGGAAGGGTCTAGAGCCTCCATTTTTGCACTCAGGTCTAAGTCTCATGGCCCTCTATCAGAATCCAGAGTTTTGAGAAGATTGGGGATACTTAATTTTTCGCCCAAAAAAAAAACGTAAGGGGTAACACTGTCGTTTTTTTTTTCGGGTCGAAATTTTGAGTTTCGATATCTCAGCTCTGGAAGGGTCTAGAGCCTCCATTTTTGCACTCAGGTCTAAGTCTCATGGCCCTCTATCAGAATCCAGAGTTTTGAGAAGATTGGGGATACTTAATTTTTCGCCCAAAAAAAAAAACGTAAGGGGTAACACTGTCGTTTTTTTTTCGGGTCGAAATTTTGAGTTTCGATATCTCAGCTCTGGAAGGGTCTAGAGCCTCCATTTTTGCACTCAGGTCTAAGTCTCATGGCCCTCTATCAGAATCCAGAGTTTTGAGAAGATTGGGGATACTTAATTTTTCGCCCCAAAAAAAAAAACGTAAGGGGTAACACTGTCGTTTTTTTTTCGGGTCGAAATTTTGAGTTTCGATATCTCAGCTCTGGAAGGGTCTAGAGCCTCCATTTTTGCACTCAGGTCTAAGTCTCATGGCCCTCTATCAGAATCCAGAGTTTTGAGAAGATTGGGGATACTTAATTTTTCGCCCAAAAAAAAAAAACGTAAGGGGTAACACTGTCGTTTTTTTTTCGGGTCGAAATTTTGAGTTTCGATATCTCAGCTCTGGAAGGGTCTAGAGCCTCCATTTTTGCACTCAGGTCTAAGTCTCATGGCCCTCTATCAGAATCCAGAGTTTTGAGAAGATTGGGGATACTTAATTTTTCGCCCCAAAAAAAAAAACGTAAGGGGTAACACTGTCGTTTTTTTTTTCGGGTCGAAATTTTGAGTTTCGATATCTCAGCTCTGGAAGGGTCTAGAGCCTCCATTTTTGCACTCAGGTCTAAGTCTCATGGCCCTCTATCAGAATCCAGAGTTTTGAGAAGATTGGGGATACTTAATTTTTCGCCCAAAAAAAAAAAACGTAAGGGGTAACACTGTCGTTTTTTTTTCGGGTCGAAATTTTGAGTTTCGATATCTCAGCTCTGGAAGGGTCTAGAGCCTCCATTTTTGCACTCAGGTCTAAGTCTCATGGCCCTCTATCAGAATCCAGAGTTTTGAGAAGATTGGGGATACTTAATTTTTCGCCCAAAAAAAAAAAACGTAAGGGGTAACACTGTCGTTTTTTTTTCGGGTCGAAATTTTGAGTTTCGATATCTCAGCTCTGGAAGGGTCTAGAGCCTCCATTTTTGCACTCAGGTCTAAGTCTCATGGCCCTCTATCAGAATCCAGAGTTTTGAGAAGATTGGGGATACTTAATTTTTCGCCCAAAAAAAAAAAACGTAAGGGGTAACACTGTCGTTTTTTTTTCGGGTCGAAATTTTGAGTTTCGATATCTCAGCTCTGGAAGGGTCTAGAGCCTCCATTTTTGCACTCAGGTCTAAGTCTCATGGCCCTCTATCAGAATCCAGAGTTTTGAGAAGATTGGGGATACTTAATTTTTCGCCCAAAAAAAAAAACGTAAGGGGTAACACTGTCGTTTTTTTTTCGGGTCGAAATTTTGAGTTTCGATATCTCAGCTCTGGAAGGGTCTAGAGCCTCCATTGTTGCACTCAGGTCTAAGTCTCATGGCCCTCTATCAGAATCCAGAGTTTTGAGAAGATTGGGGATACTTAATTTTTCGCCCCAAAAAAAAAACGTAAGGGGTAACACTGTCGTTTTTTTTTCGGGTCGAAATTTTGAGTTTCGATATCTCAGCTCTGGAAGGGTCTAGAGCCTCCATTGTTGCACTCAGGTCTAAGTCTCATGGCCCTCTATCAGAATCCAGAGTTTTGAGAAGATTGGGGATACTTAATTTTTCGCCCAAAAAAAAAAACGTAAGGGGTAACACTGTCGTTTTTTTTTCGGGTCGAAATTTTGAGTTTCGATATCTCAGCTCTGGAAGGGTCTAGAGCCTCCATTGTTGCACTCAGGTCTAAGTCTCATGGCCCTCTATCAGAATCCAGAGTTTTGAGAAGATTGGGGATACTTAATTTTTCGCCCAAAAAAAAAAAACGTAAGGGGTAACACTGTCGTTTTTTTTTCGGGTCGAAATTTTGATTTTCGATATCTCAGCTCTGGAAGGGTCTAGAGCCTCCATTGTTGCACTCAGGTCTAAGTCTCATGGCCCTCTATCAGAATCCAGAGTTTTGAGAAGATTGGGGATACTTAATTTTTCGCCCCAAAAAAAAAAACGTAAGGGGTAACACTGTCGTTTTTTTTTCGGGTCGAAATTTTGATTTTCGATATCTCAGCTCTGGAAGGGTCTAGAGCCTCCATTGTTGCACTCAGGTCTAAGTCTCATGGCCCTCTATCAGAATCCAGAGTTTTGAGAAGATTGGGGATACTTAATTTTTCGCCAAAAAAAAAAAACGTAAGGGGTAACACTGTCGTTTTTTTTTACGGGTCGAAATTTTGATTTTCGATATCTCAGCTCTGGAAGGGTCTAGAGCCTCCATTGTTGCACTCAGGTCTAAGTCTCATGGCCCTCTATCAGAATCCAGAGTTTTGAGAAGATTGGGGATACTAAATTTTTCGCCCAAAAAAAAAAAACGTAAGGGGTAACACTGTCGGTTTTTTTTCGGGTCGAAATTTTGATTTTCGATATCTCAGCTCTGGAAGGGTCTAGAGCCTCCATTGTTGCACTCAGGTCTAAGTCTCATGGCCCTCTATCAGAATCCAGAGTTTTGAGAAGATTGGGGATACTAAATTTTTCGCCCAAAAAAAAAACGTAAGGGGTAACACTGTCGTTTTTTTCTCTTGTAACCACAGCCGTATCCAACTGATCTGACGGCACGGGCGCTTTGGTCTGCACAAGCCCCGGAAGTGATCTCTTGTGCATGTACACACATTGTTTACACAGATTTTAGAAGTTTAACTTTTCACTGTGAAGATCTAAACATATTTAGATGTACAGGAAATTGCAATGGAAGACGATTTCGATATTTAGATCTTCACAGTGAAAGGTAAAACTTCCGAAATCTGTGTAAACAATGAGTGACGCACATGCGCGAGATATCACTTCCGGGGCTTTCTGGCGCGCTTGCGCAGATAGAAGCGGCCTCGCCCTCGCCCTCAGAGTACTTGGACGTCACTGCGATTACACAAGGTAAAAACTATATTAATACCGTTTGTTTTCTCTCACAAACCGCTCGTTTCGTGTCTTAGGCCATCAATGTGTACTTACATTTACGAGTCAGTCAATCATGTTTAATTTGGACTTCTCTGTGCATGCTCTTTGAGGTGGGCCCCATAAATCTCCATTATATGATGCATAGACAACGACGGTTTGTCCTAAAAATATCAAAATTGAAAATACTGTGGAAACAAAGACACCTACATCTTGGATGCCCTTGAGGTAAGCTAAAACATCAAAAGGAATTTGAGATGGTGTAATTTGGGAGAGAAAAAATGTTTACAAGTTTGCAACTCTTAAAATATTTCTCTCTTTGGCTTCAAATTTACTGATACACATGCATGGCTTTTGTCTATAACTACAAATCACACTGTCACAGGCGTTCAGTTGATTTGAATCAAATATACCTCCATTAGTAATGACGAAAACGAACAGTATTTATGTTGTTTTTACCTCTTGTAATCACAGCCACGTTCAAGTGATCTAAGGGCACGGGCGCTTTGTGGCTGTGGCTACATGAGGTAAAAACGATATAAATACTGTTCATTTTCTCACAAACCGCTTTCAAACCGCTCGTTTCGTGTCTTAGGCCATCAATGTTTACTTACATTTACGAGTCATTAAATCATGTTTAATTTGGACTTCTCTGTGCATGCTCTTTGAGGTGGTGACAATAGACCTCCATTACTTGACTGACAGACAGATATCAAAATTGAAAATACTGTGGAAACAAAGACACCTACATCTTGGATACCCTTGAGGTAAGCTAAAACATACCAAAAATGTATATCAAAGTGAACTATCCCTGTAATGTTTCATGTCATGGTAATGACCATGTCATATCAGTCTTAAATGTTATCTGATATGTGTGTTTCCCTCCCTGTTTTCAGAGCCTTTTGCAGCATCCCCAGATGGGCAGGCAGAGAAAAAAACGTCCAAAATGTGCATTGTGGACTCGTTTTCTCATTAGTTTTAAGAGAAAATAAAAATATATATTTAAAAAAAAAAGTGTTTTGTTTTTCTTTGCAGAAGTCTGAAAGAGGACATTTATCCAAGTTACAATATTTGTAATATTTACAATATGCTGTCCTATGAAATTACAGAAAATACCTAAAATTACAGGAAATTCCTGGCTACTGAGTTGCCGTAAATATAAAATTTTGCTGTAAAATTTACAGTATTCTATCCTGTAAAATTTACTGTAAACAGCTCCACACGAATAGGACAACTATGGAAGTAATGAAGAGATTTAAGCAGTGTTGTTCCCAAATTTTCTCCATTAAGCTTATAACAGGATGTGATGTTAAAAAATGTTAAAATGCAAACTACCATAAAAAGTTTCTTGTACAAAATACATAAGACAGATTTTTAATGCTTGTATTGACTGTACATGAGTCTTTTATATTCAGTCGCTTTCTTTAACTCACACATAACGTGCCGTTGACTCCCTCTAGTGTCCTTAATACATATTCAGTTATATCAAATAAATCTGTGAAGGGTATGGCCCTTTGGTACCAGCTTGTAATATTTTTTTATTTTTTTTTGGACGAGTGTTTAGTATTATATATGTGAATTATTGAAACGCTATGGTGTTGAGCAATTTCCAGCTGGCCTTGTTGGCGTTCAGTAATTGGACGGCTATGAGAGTGTTTGTATATAATGTTTATTTAGAGCAGGTGGCTGTTGATGCAGTCACTGCAAGCACACCACTGTTCCCAATGCCAGTCACAGCAGGTATCATACAAGTCAATGGCAGAACATCAACACAATATACAGCCTGCACACACTGAGCAGTGCAGATTTATTTCTTTTTTTAAATTTCTCTGCAAATAGGATGGAATTGAAAACAGCTTTCATTATTAAATAACATCTTGCACCAACAACAAGTCTGACTTCAGTGTTTTCAGAATAATTTTCATTGTTTTTTTTTCTTCTCTGGTATTAAAAAAGAAGCAAACATGACGATAAGAAACTGACAGAAATGAGAACTTTAAAGTGGAGAAATCAAGTTAAAAAAAAAGGATGATTTCACAGTGACAAACATCCAGCTATATACACAGAAGAAGTGAGGACAGGGTTGTAACTATTAAATGAACACTGGATCGACACCCAGTCGTTTGAAGCGATAGGCATGATAAAGCTTTTATAAAAGCCATTCCCATGCCAGACATCTGCACTTTGTCCACGGAGCAGACCACAACAAAGAGGGATATAATTCTGAACATCTGGTGGACAAAAGCTGAGACCGGCCACATATCACATAGTTCAAACATGAAAGACTAAATAAAAAGAACTAAAGCAAGGCACATACATGTTAAAAAAAAAAAAATGTAACATTGCATAATATACAACTTATTTCATCTGAAGACATGGCAGTCAAAAAACATGTCACAAAAAGTTACCTTAAAAAAGAAAACTGGACTTCTAAAAAAATGACCATTTACAATTCATTTAAAACCCTTTGAGCCAAGAAGACACGTTTGTCTCAAATATTAGCAGTTTCATCAACAAGCCCTCTTGATGCTGCATCGTTAAATACTTTTTGAAAACATCTATAATAATCTCTGTTAATAACTTAAATATTACAAATATTCTTTTCTCTCTTTTTTTTTTAAGAACCAGGGAAGGGATTAAGCATATGGCGCTACTGAAAGTGTGTAAAGCATTGTGGGACCTACACAACTATTTTTCTTGCTTGTGTTCCCCTTCCTTTGGGCCCTTTCTTAAATTGCATTTAAGATCATTTTGATGCTGTGACTATTCTAATAATGAGCAGGCAGATTGTCATGGCAACAAAGATGGTTAAGTAATGAGAGACTGAGTTTGCTGGCAATGAGATAATGACATTCAGAGGCTTCCAATAGGTTTGGTGCTGTCATAACAGCAAACTGCCCTCACCATGAATGAGTGAACATGGCATCTGTTAACATCTCATGTCCACAGAGACCAAACTGTCAAAGCGTCACTCATTCTACCCTCAATATGTCCCTGTAAAAGTCACCTAATGTGAGTCTCAGTGAATATGTTTAACCTACTGCTATGTTTTTCAGAATAAGTTATGTACCCAAGCTTAATTTGCATCTTGGACTAGTGCTATAACTTTGGTCATTGAGGAAATGTCTGTCTCGATGATACTGGGGGGAATTCAATACAAAGCAGGCACACCATGGTACATTCACACCCTTAAACAGCCACTGCGCAATGTTCTGAGATTAGACAGCATGCATGCATGCTTCCAGTGGAAACACACCTGACCAGTGGTGCAAAATCCAGAAATTGCAAAATCCTTGTTAGTTCACTACACTGTCAGTCGATAACACCTTACATGCATGTTTCTTTTCGATTGCCGTTTTATGCCACTCACAAACACATACATTTGCAACTTTCTCACTTTGTGCTTCCTGATGTCCCACCTTCCAAAAACCCAAACCATCACTGGATCCGTGTACATCGCCTGTGTTTCTCAGGTGTAGTAAAAGTCAACATGACTCTATTTACTTTCTTAATGCACAATCCTGGACACTTTATTCCTAAGAAAAATGAATTTGTCTTAATATTCACTTTCGGCACACAGGCTATTTCATAATGCTAACAAATAGCTAAATAGCTATTTTGGTATCCAGTGCCTACTTTAAATTGCCAAAGAACAGAATCAAGTACCATTGTATATTTTGTAGCATTTAGGCCTAGAAATGCATTACATCACGGAAGTAAAATGGCTTTGACTTCAAGGCCGCCTACACTGTGTATCCCCTTTCTGCAGATGACTAAAGCATAGAGATGTCCAAGGATGAGGCCATGCCTCGCCAAATCAGAGCACCCTTCCCACAAGGCAATGCCTCTCATCGGGCCTATCTCAGCTTGAACCTGTTTGCTTGTGTGTTAGCAGCACTGAGGTCACCTCTCACGTTAAGGCACACAGGACACTGCACATGATGAGGGCAAAGAAAAATAGGGAGGGTGAAGGAAGAAGCAGGAATGTATGAGTTCGCACAGGGAAAAAGTATATGGAAACATAAAGGGTCACAGCAGCAGCAGCAGCAGCACAGAGCGGGAGCCCAGAGCAAGCACAGAGCAGGGGGTGAAACAGCCACTTCAGTCACTACATTCAACACAGCCCACAACACTCTTCAGCAGAGCACAGCCAAACATACAAGATGTTTAAGCCAGACTTATTTTTTGTTTTGTTTTAAAACTTCATTATAGTCATAGAAAAATCCACATATCTGTCATCAAACTTTATAGATTTCTTAATGTTTCAACACTGTATGTACCATTGAACATGGAATAAAAACATAAAATATTTATATTTATATATATATTTATATATATAACTGTACTAATGCATGACTCTCACTATGAGATTTTTTTCTTTATAGATACAAACTTTCCTCATGCTTACAATGTACACATACCATACTATTATTTCATATACATTTATTGTTTTCATATTATTATTTTACTACTCATTGCTCATGGTTGATAGAGATATTCCATGGACAGAGAGTTGAGCTTTAAAACCCAACCTCTGCCTCTCCACCCTCTGCTCTGTCTTTGATGTTTAAAGCCCTGCATGGCCTTCTGCCCAGTCCTGAGGTACATCAACTCGGGTTTGTGCAAAACCAACTCGGAGGGAGAGAGGAGAGACAGGTGTTTCATGACAATGGGGAATGAGCAGGAGAACAGTAGGGGGAGAGAGGAGCAAGGGATGAAGGAAAGGGGTAGGTGGGTATGTTGTTGGTCACTGTGCCCTTGTGCTCTCCAGGGGTCCTGAGGTTGTGCCACAGAGACACATGCTGTGCTCTTCACTCCAGCATGGCATCCAGCTGATCGGCCAGGTCATCGAACATGCTGCCGATGTCGTCTAGGATGCTCACTGTGCTCTTGTTTTCAGTCATTGAGCTGTGAATCAAAACACGGTTAAATATCTTTTCAAAATAAGAAAAAATGTAGCTGCAAGCAACAGTTGTGGGGTCAAAACAGACATGCGCGAATTCAAAAGTTGAATAGATTTATTTGGTCGACACACCCCAGTGGTGAATTTAAAAGAGAATAAATTCAAAAGCTATAAACAGATCTGCCTTTTAGTTATCAAATTTGATCAGTTGATGTCGCTGTCACTAAAGGTAGGTGGTTTCTTCGGGGAGTCTCAATGATAGAACAGAAGCCTTGCCAATATCAAGCCTCAACTGTTCAGCTTTTTCGTGTTTAAATTGGCTAACATGCTATAGGCAGTTTTGAAAAGAAAAATAATTAATTACTATAAAATTCTGGTACTCGCTGTATTTAGCATGATTTAGCAAAACTGCTTGAAGTCTGTTTCTTAATAACCACAGATGTAGACTCAAAACTGCTGAATTGATTTGAATTGATTATATTAACCTCAGACTAGATGCCATAATAGCATAGATTCCTCCTGGTCTATTATGTCATACAATTTTTGCATGTTTCATGACACTCACTCTCTTTGCCCATCCTCCTTGATCTTCTCTTCTACTGCCAGCAGGGCCGCAGCCAGTGAGGCACTGGTCTCCTCTATCTTCTGGTGCATTGCATCTGCCGTCACTACCCCTGCGACACATGCTGATCCAGTTGAACCGTCCATGGATACACCACTGATTGAGGAGCGAGGGGGCTTCACGGGTGGGGGTGTAGGGGTGGGGGTTGGTGGAGTCTGTGGGGTTTGGGGTGTCTGAGGTGTCTGTGGGGTGTGAGGAGACTGAGGTGTGTGTGGGGTGTGAGGAGACTGTGGTGTGTGTGAGGTCTGCGCGCTCAAAGCTAGTGGGGTTGTAGCCTTGACAGGGTTGGTCTGGGCAGAAGCTGTACTGGCCATTCTGGTGATAGTCTGCTTGGCTGGAGATGGTGTGGGAGTGGGATTAGGCGTCGTGTTTAAAGACTGCAGAACATTTTTGGATGGTTTGGGAGCTGTGGGAGGAGGTGTAGGTTTTGGTGAAATCGGAGGAGGTACTTTCTTTCCTTCAACTGTAGAGAGATAGGAAGAGAGACGGGAAGAGAGACTGACTGAGATGACATTGATTCAACAAGGTTTAAACGTTACAAGGCTTTATGGGATACTCACATAATTGTGTAAAGACAGGGCAAGTGAAAGGCCCGCACTGTGTAGTACCTGGGCTGCCAGGTGCCCCAGTTGGTCCAGGAAATGGAGCTTTCTTGGTGATGGCAGCCGGTGGTCCTTGTTTCTTTATGTGCTGGGCCAGAACAGGTTTGGGAGACACTGGAGGCTTGACAGATTTACGAGGGGTACTCTCAGTGGTGTGGCCTTCCAGGTCTGGACTGTCCCGACGGGGCGAGTTCTCGGGATGTTCCTGTGGCCGGGGCTGCTCTGAAACGGTCACCTCTGACACAGGGCGTCTTTTAATGGTCCCAGTCCCATTCTCGTATGGTACGTGCATCTGCCCATCCTGTTGATCCTCTGCATCTTTGTCTTTGCTTTTGGGACGGCGCTTAACCGTATTTGACTCTGTGAGCAGGAACTTGGTGCCATTTGGCTGCTGCTTGGTGCTCTGGACCCTCCTTTTCAGTGAGTCTGTGGCATCCACACATGAAAGGTCTTCCTGGGGTAAAGAGTACGACATTTCTAGGCTCTCCTCAGCCTCATCCTTTCCCTGTCTAGGTTTTTGTTTGATGGTAAGGTTTCCATCCTCAGCAAACGGAAGGTTCTCTGCTGAACTCCCACTAGAGCTTGATTGTGGTTCAGTGCGTTGTCTATCCTGGACAGGCTCTGGTCCTCGCTTAGCAGCTGCCACCAACTCAGTGACAGGCCCACTAATGGTCCTGCGGCGGTTCACTACTTCCCCATCCAGTCCAATGGCATCACGCTGCTTTGTTCCAGCAGAACCCACCTGTAGAGAAACAACCATGTTTTACTACGACAGATTTTGCTAACAGACATCTTTATGAAAAATGCTGAGCATCATCCCAAGGGGGTACTGACAATCACCTTACCTGCAGATAGTGACCTGCAGATTTCTGTGAAGCAAGACCCTTGGCACCCCCACCAATAGAGGACATTTCCAACATGGCCGCAATGCTCCTCACAGTTCCTGCACTGCCTGTGTCTACAGTGCCACCCAGGTCACTAGCACGTCTTTGTGGTTGATAGGGAACATCCAAAAGAGGTCCACTGCTTGCCTCCTTGGGTACTTCAGCCAGATTACTGCTGGAGCTTGAGATAGCCGAACTAGAGCGTTTAGGGGGAGGTGGAGGAGGACCTTTCTTTTTCTGCCTGAGTGCAAAGGACTGGCTTCGGTTGACATTCTTTTCTGCCTGCCCTTTCATTGAGTTGCTGCGACCCACCCGGTGCTGTACTGTTGCATACTTTCCTCCTGAATCTGTCACATTCAGTTCATCGCGCTCCTGCTCGCCATCAGACACAGCATATCGATTCAGGCTGTGGGCACGTTTCTTAGGCAGACCATACTCATCGCAAGCATCGTCGCCATCTGGTGGCAGGCACAGGAGTGGCACTGAGACAGCAGCTCCTTGGGGTGCAGCTTCCATGGTTTCCACAGGCTGGGCAGCTGGGTGTGGATGGGACATTTGAGTTGGGGATTGGGGGTGAGCACGAGGTGTCATGGGCTTCTCTGTCTGTTGGAGCAGCTGAGGACTAGGTTTTGGTTTACCTGGTGGGTTGCTCATCGTTTGTGAGGCGGGAGGCTTCATTTTGGTGGGTGTTTGTGGTGGAGTATAGGGTGGTCCTGCACCTTGGGGATAAGACTGACGTGGTTTTGGCTGCGCCGATGAGACACTTCTCTGGCCTCCTTGGCTGCTCTGGCGCATTGTACGTGCCTCCTTTCTGGGTGGCCCGCTAGGCTCCTCTGTGTCTCGGCTCTTATTCATGCTGTTCTCATGCAGACTGCGGGCTCGGTGCTGTGCTCCCGGAGCACTGTTGTTTCTCAACTCTGTGCAGTCCTGCACATCAGCAGGGTGTTTAAGAGCTGCCTGTAACTCCCCGCTCAGTTCACTGTCCTGAAAGGTGCTCATTTTAGGAGACATACACTCTATGCTATCATGGGGTGGGCTTTCAATTGCCATCACCTCCTGAGCGGCTGGGGGCTTTTTACGCAATGCGTTACGACCATCAGTGGCCTTCTGGATCTCAGCCAGCTTCTTCACTGCAAGCATAAGCTTCTTCTGGTGTCCTACGCAAATTTGGTTAAAGTACTGTAAACCAACATGGCCTATGCACTTTGGTAAAAAAAGAGAAATTTTATGTGTAATCATTTTGAAGTACTTAAAGATTATGGATCCCAGTCCACTGTCTTACCAAGTTTTGTGATGCCAATCTCCTGAAGGTCCTCCCACGTAATGTCAGTGATAAAGTCAATGTTCTCGTAGCCATTTTTGACTAAAATTTGGTGATATTGGCTCAACCCAATCAAGGATAACCATTCTCCAAGACTCGCCTACAGATTAAATAGATATAAAAACAAATTACATCTGGATGCGTGTCTATGTGTATGTTCAGGTAATCTTACGTTGTGGGAACAAAATAGTAATACCAGGAATGTTAAATCTTTATTAGGAAACAGCTTTTAAATCATCCTAAACAATCTATTTTGAAAATGTTAAAATGCCGGAAGTTTTTTGTAAGGGTTGTGTTTAGGGTTAGGGTATCTATACAGATTGTACAGGTACTGTATAAAAATTATTACTTCTATGGAAAGTCCCCATAAAACATGGAAACCCAATGTGTGTTTTTGTATCTGCACTCACCGGTTTTTGATCAGGCAGCCACTCATTAACACTGAGCTTATTTATCTCCGAGGTTATCTTCTTTCGATGTCCTGGTTTGGTTACTCCAATAGCTGTTAAATCCTGAAAATACATATAGGAGTCCCAGAAACCATCAGATCTATAACCAATCACATTCAAGAACCCCAAGACCTTTGTACACAAATACACACTAAACCAAGTGGCGCAAATTCTATGAACATCACATTACATATACACAAAAAAGATGATAGAAGCTGATGAAAAAAAATGGGAAAGAGAAAATAATAAAATAATACCAGGAGCAAGTGAGGAAAAGAAGCCTTTTCAGAGTACCCCGAAACACAATCATATAAACATATCCTAATTGAGCATGTCCATGGTGTTTCAACAAAATACCCCAGTTAATTCTGCTTTCAGCAATAATATGTAAATCTCATGAAGGCAGTGGTTTAATGTAATTAAGTATGGCAGATGAGTTTGCTTCCAGGAATTCTAATTGCTCAAAGATTAATTTTAGTTTTAGTAACAATTTAGTTTAGTTCAGTTTAGTAATTATATTTATATGCCCATAAATACATAGCTCACAAGAGCATGTACATATGCTTAAGTTATTATGTGGGTAATCAAGATACCAATATAACATACTAGGAAACACATTTAATAACCAAAACAGCAACAATGTCTGGTAAGATATTTCCATCCTTTTTCACGAGTCTCATAAAGCCTGTGTGAGCCATGCCCATGGCTTTATGTGCTTCAGTTCAGACTCATTGTAATCCGTTTCACTTAAAAATCCAAGGAGAGTTTGTTGGTTGATTCGTTTTTATCTTCTGACTGCTTCTTTTCTGTGCTTTGGGTGGGTCTGTGAGTGTTACATTTAGGGGAAGAGGGGAGTGACGTAAATAGTTTAGGGTGGCTTAAGGAGGTGGGGGGGTGGGGGGGGGGACAACTCTTACCTCTGGGGTCATTCGGCTAATTGTAGGAATGTCATAGCCGGCGCTGATGAAGTTTGGAGCGTAGACCTGCAGCTGAAATTCACTCAGCCATTCGATAACAGCCTCTGAGCTCTAGAAGAAAAGATAGGTGGCAGTCTATCACTGTTTGGGTCCTGTGGCTGAAGATGGACCAGACCCCAGGTCAACAAATGAGCCAATGACCAATGTCACAGCTTCACTAAACTTTATAAGTTAATAAATAATTAAAAAGTCCACCCTACTTTTTTGTATTAAATTGGACTAATTGCTCTTAGTCCAGTATTACTGCTCTGGCAACAAGGGACAAAGCTTTAGCAAATAAGGACTAGTGTCCATACAGTTTCTGCTTTGGGATGCCATTTCCCTTGAAGTAGGAGGATGTACTGTACACTCTGTTTAGGGGAGGCAAAAAGGGAGTTGGGCAGCAGAGAAAATAGGGCTGTTTTGAACAGATGGCCCTTAGTCCACAAGTCCAGCATGGAGCAGCTCTACTCAGCAGCTCAAAAGTCGTGCTGGGAAAGATATGGCAGCCACATTTCTCTGTTATATGACTAAATGGCGGAATTTCTGATATCAGCTGATTGTAAAAATTACAGAAAAAATAGATCAAAAACTGCGAGACTACCAATTTGCAACATACAATGTAATTTAATGAGATAAAGAGTAAATAATACCTATACTGTTATATTTTGTTGGTACTGTGTTAAAAAAAATAATCTAATTTTCCTTATAGCTCTAACTGTTCTTCAAGTCTCAAGTTTAGTATGTATCTAAATCCACATTTAAATCAAACGTCTACATTGTTGGGTACTCTCTGAAAAGAAATCAAAAGGTGAAAATTACTGAAAATAAGGCAAAAAAATGTTTGGAATGGACTTTAAAATGTAGCAAAGAAAATGAAATGAATGATCAGAAAGCATCACAGTGAAAGGAATCACTGTCGAGATTGGAAAGCAGCATCAGACAGAGCAGCTGACAGAAACCTGAAGCTGAAGACAGCATGCAAGGAAGCCTGCGGAAAAGCCCACTCACCGTGTCCTGACGACAACCGAGAGCGTGTAATACCGATGAGGCCAGCTGTGAGAGGAAGTGCTGGGAAAGCATCCTGGATGTGCAGATGCCAGTGCATCTATATGTATGTGTGTGTGAGAGTGTATGCTTGTTTGAGGAAAGGTAACGGGACAGTGTGTTTTGAGTAGGAGTCTCCTTACCTTCCCCTCAGGCAGCGCCTCCCCTTTCCTCTGGGACACTGCCTCCCCATACGGCTGCTCATGGAGTGGACAGCTTGACAAACTCTGACTGCGTGAGGAAGATCCTAGAAGGACCATGAGATCATTCATACACATTGGAGCATTGCTATTACACAACCAATCCCTGTTATGCTTTTTGACTAGCTACTCCTTTAGCCAATCAGATTTTTGTGATGCTCCCACCCACAGCAATTAGTTCAACCATCTGGCACAAAAAATGAGCCAAGTCTCTTATTTGTGGGGAAAAAAAATTGGATGGAGAGACTTATTTGTGGCAAGATGCTCTCATATGAAATCTTTTCAAAAGAGCCATTTGAAATTCCCACTAACCTTTGTTGCTGGAAGCATGAGAAGGGTGTTCCAAAGACTTCGTCTGCTCCAGCAGGTGTTCTTTAGCTTTGGCAGACTGTGATAAAACCGTGGCCAAAAGCTACAGGACAAACAAAGCTCATCAGATCAATAAATAACATACAAATATCAATGCAGACTATACAAATTGGACCTCAAGTGCACCCCCTTATTGAAGAACAAAGCTTTGTGAGACTGAGTAACAGGTTCTTCTCTAATGTATTAAAGGTCCTGCTGAAAAAATTCAGCTAAATTCATCTCCTCAAGGTGGCTGGTTGAAGCTGATTATTTATTGGTCAGGTACAAGCTGATTTAGGTGGACTACCAGCTAATGGGGGTTAAGGTCGACCTCATAAACCACCTTGGTCAACCTGGTTAGGGCAGATAGATTTGTTTGTTGGGAGGTCTTTTAAGGTGGTTAGATGGTCCAAGCAGGTTTAGTTGGACTGCTAGCTTGTAAGGGTCAAGGTTGACCTTGTAAATCATCTTGATACACCTTATTTGGTCTGAAAAACTATATGGTAACTGGTTTTAAATGTTTTCTAGCAGGAGCTGAAGCTCATTATTTATGTTGTTTTTTTAATCCATTCTAGCTGGTTCAGGTGGACTACCAGGAAATGGGCACAAGGTTGGCCTTGAAGATCATCTTGTAGATGATCTGGAAAAATTCCAAAACACAACTGAAGTTGACAAGGCTGTTCATCTAAGGATGTTATGACCTGTTTTTTTTCTAATACATCTTGTAATAATAGATAAGAGGCTTCTAAAATGAATGACAAACAACAAATAAGGCAGTTCTTTCAGGTATCTTCTCAAAACTACAATTGGGGATGAGTCACTTTGCATGTGAGATAGCTCACCTTGACTCCCTCTGCCTGTGCGTGAAGGATATTGCTGCTGCCTGCGCTCTGTCCACTACCAGAGGATCGGGCACTGGCCACACTCCCTGAACTGCCCACACTGCTGCGGTCTCCACCTGGAACAACAAGCCCCCAGCAAACACATACACAAACACAGTCAGCCTCATTGGACCATACCACCACGATTGCTCCAATCACACCACTATGAACTTCCCCTCTGCAATGCACTGATCTGATACACGGGATGACAGGGACTTACATAACAATGGTGAAAGACAAGGTGATTGATGGACACAAGACGTTAGCATCGTCACTAACACAAACACACTCAGGCCCACACTACATTCATTGAAAATGCAGTTTGCCACAGGGCTACAGACACATCTGTGGATTGTCTCTACGTGTGCTCTCGAGGGAACGATTCCACGGATGTTACTGTAACAGAGCGAATGAGACCCTTTCAATGCGCCTACACGCCTGCAACTGAGGAGGTTTCTAGGGTCAGGAGTACAGCAGCTGCGCCAGGAGCGTGGCAAAGCAGGAGGAGTCATGAGAGAAGAGGAAGAGGAGGACGAGGAAGGGGCAGTCCTGCTGTTACCTGCCACAGGCTTGCGCAGCACCCAGATCTCTTCGCTGCTGCCGCCACCCTGGGGACCACCGGCTGTGGTGGGTGAGCCATGTGGACTGGAGTCTGAGCCGCGAGAACCTTTAACACAGAAACCACCATTAACTGCGCCCTGGCTTGGCCACCTGCCCGGGATCAGAGGTTTTCTGGACAGGTCAGGCAAGAGGAAACCTTAACTATATGTGCTTTAGCAGTCTGTTGGACCACAAACCTCATTCTCTCTCTCTCTTTCAAACACAAGGCACACAAGGCAATCGCGCATATATATATATACTGTATATCTAACACAAATATATATGAACATTTATATACAGAGGTACATGAAATATATAAGAAGAAACATGTACTGTATATATGTGTATATACATATATATATGCCTTGATTTACACATACACATAGGTAAAACATATATAATATATACAGAGATATATGATTATATATGTAAATAGGTTTAACAACAAGAGGAGTTGCAGTGCATTACAGGAGCATAGTTCATTAGGGATTCCAAAGACATCAAACCACAAGTGTGTGTAAATACAAATAAATCCAATACCCTCTTATGGTAATGGTCTCTAATCATTGAAGAGAGACAGTCTCACCAGACTATAATGTTGTTAAAGGAATAATTAACTTAAAGATGACAATTCTGCCATCATTTTTTCAGCCCCCTGTTTATACAAAACTGTGTGATTTTATTTTGTGAACACAAATTTGATTTGTTTTGCTGTTTTTAAAGGGATAGTTCATCCAAAAATGATTACTCACCCCCATGCTGTTCCAACCCCGTAAGACCCCGGTCATCTTCGGAACACAAATGATTAAATGATTGATTTTAAATTGATTAAATTTGAGAGCTGGATCACTGCCACATAGGCACCCTAAGGGACTGAAACTTGACGGCTCAGAAAGTCAATGAAGAAAATGTTTAAATATTCCATGTGACAACAGTGGCTCAACTATAAGTTTATCAAGCGACGAGAATACTTCTTGTGCGAAAAAAAAAAAAACGACTTTATTCGGGCCTGAGACGAGAGTTTCCACGACGCATGCGCGAGAACTAGGTTATTTTTCTAGTTCTTCTTGTTCAGTTCTCGCACATGTGTCGTGGTAATCTCTTGACCTCTTGTCTGAGGCCCAGAAGTCAGAAAAGGAATAGTCGAATAAAGTCGTATATTTTTTTCGCACAAGAAGTATTCGCGTCGCTTGATAAACTTATAGTTGAGCCACTGTAGTCACATGGAATATTTAAACATTTTCTTCAATGACTTTCTGGGCCGTCAAGTTTCAATCCCTTAGGCAGCATATGTAGCAGTGATCCACCTCTCAGATTTAATCAAAAATATCTTCATTTGTTTTCCGAAGACGAACGAAGGTCTTACGGTGTTGGTACAGCATGGGGGTGAGTAATTAATGACTTAATTTTCATTTTTGGGTGAACTAACCCTTTAAGAGAAAATCAGCATAATTCTTCAAAATGGATTTAAACATTTTATAGAAAGTGAGCAGGAAATAAAATAGATTAGTCAAAATATTTTGCTATGTCCACCATTCAAATTCTGCTGGACACAGATTCCATGTGGGCCTGACGATTACTGATCATTTAGAACTAAAACAGACATATTTATATTACAATTTACGGTGATCCAGAGAACATAAGAATATCTTCATGCTCCGTACCTATATCAAAGTTTGGTTTGATACACATCGTTGAAAAGATCAGAGTTAGTATGAATGGACAGATCAGTAGAGTTGAGATGAAGGAGAGTTGAAACAGACAGATGTTCGGTGACGGACAAATGGCTGTGCAGAGATGCAGGAATGGAGGGGTGAGAGGCTGGCTCCGCATTCCCTATTGGTCACGTGTACGAGTGAACGGTTGAAAGGGGCAGTGGAACGAATCCAAAGTGTGGTCATCACAGAGAGGGAAAATATAGCACCAAGATCAGGGAAATTTAGGGGTAAAAGAGGAGAGATAACAGCTTCAACAAAGAGAGGCCCATGAACCTCTTTTGTGCTGGTCAAAAGAACTTACTAGCCAAATCTTGATCATTCTTGGCCTCTAAAAAAACATAACAAACAACCAAAATAATGTCAGAAAATAAAATTAAACGTGTTTAATTTGAAATTAAATGTAAAGTTCAGAAATAATAATTTTCAGAAAACTTTAAGGAATTAGTGGAACTAATTGATCATTGTTTGTATTCAGACTATTTAAACGAAAAATACTGTAATTTAACACATTCCTTAAAGCTTTGTGAATAATAATAACATCAATAAATAATAATAATAATACAGTGGAGACAGATTAGGGGATCTGTACCTTGTCCACTGTGTGGCTCTTCTGAGTTGTTGGGGGACCTGTTATAGCCAAAGGAAGTGAAAAGTGGCAGATGGGAATGTGGTGGCGGAGGTGGAGGAGGCGGCAGGATATGAATCTCATGATACGAGTCCCCATTCACCATGGCAACGGCGGGCGACACGGGGCCGCACACCGGCGCACAGAGCTGTATCTTTTGATACTGTTGGGTACAAGTGACTGTACTCCATGAACCTAGATACGACAACACAGCAACCACCACCACCACAACAAACAAAACAATTACACATAAGAGAGGGAAAGCAAATTAACCCAACACAAAAATCACAACCAATCACAAAATTCAAAACGGAAAAACCATAAAAGACAAATTAAAGGGAAGAAAACGCTTGTTTTGCACTTCGAGCAGCTACGTGTGAGAATGGAGTGAAGAACTATTTCTTCAAGGATGAAGGATATTGTTATAATATACATATGAAGAGTTCAGATGCAAAAGCCTCTAAATGCCATTTGAAATTTTTTTCTTTAATGATGATTTTTATGAAACTTGTATATTTAAGTTCAGTAATTTCACTTAAATGGCAATTAATTGTTATTTAAGTGAAATTACAGAACTTAAATATACAAGTTTCATAAAAATCATCATTAAAGAAGAAAATTTCAAATGGCATTTAGAGGCTTTTGCATCTGAACTCTTCATATATTAGAAATAGAGGTCATGTGTGGAAATGCAAGGTTAGTGAAATGAAATGAGCTGGTGCTTGTAGTAAAACACACATTCTTGTCTCTGTAAGTGCCTGAGAAGAAATTCAACTGTAGAGCTGACTTCTCAAATGAGAAGTTTAGTAAGCGTGACTCTTTTCAGTAAGCCTGTGTGTGGGAGGGTGGGTGTGCGACTGTGTGATTTGATCATTTATGCACAGCAGGGCTTGTTTGAGATAGTTGTCCTCATTCAGATTAATATATCAACAATGTCTTTTTTTCATAAAAACTGCAATTTCAGTAAAAATGGCACTATAAGAAAGGAGTTCTAAAAAGCGCACAAAAAATAAGTTGAATTGAACTAATGGAGTGGAGGAGACCGAGCAGCAGATGCAGAGACAGACATGGATACTTAGTGAAGCATGAGACACAATGAACACACAGATTAGACCCCTGCTGAGATATCAACCGGACATAAACCCATTGAATGGAAAGAGAGCACTGTATGGATCATATGCATCTGCATGAGTGCACAAAAGTGTGTTCTGTTGCCCAATGATTCTTCCAATGAGTGACAATCGAAATATCTCTTCAATATCAGGTGCTTCGTTTTGTCTCATCTCGTCTTCTCTCTTCTCGTTTCTTCTCGTCTCTTCTCTTATCCGTTCTCCAACACGGTTGAAGAGGTACTTATTGCCAACGTGAACTACAGTAAGATCTAGATGTAAATATTGATATTCATCTCCATTAATGAAAAAATATGCCCAATGTTTGAGTGTCAAAGTAACAGAAGAGCGTTTTGTGAAAATAGCAAATGTAAATTGACCCAAACGGTTAAATCCAATGAGATCTGTTGTTCTGTCAATGGATGGATGGAGGCAAGGCCACTATTTAAGGTACTATTAATAACCATTTTTTCCCCCCTCTGACAGCGAGAACTACAATATTACGAGATAAGAAATGAAAAGAGCTCCACATTTGCCCTGTTTTTGTTGCCACAAAAGCAGCTGGCCCTGTCTGGCTCTCAATCCAGTGCACATGAGCATCATGAACAGCTGGCTATAAACAGAATCAGGGTTATGTGAGTTCAGCAGCATTACTTATGCATCTGTGAGTGTGAGAGGCAGCACTGACCCGCCCGTTGTCGTCTCTTACCCACAGCCCCAGGCCTCTTACTGATCACCTCCACTATGCTGGAGGGGAAGTAGCCCACTCTGTCATTCCCTGTGCGGTTATCATGGATGCAGCCCTTCCACCTCCCATCTGAATGTTGCTCCAGAACCTACAGAGTAATGAATCATAATCATCCATCATCTATAATGGCAATATGCATTGTCTGAGTGCATTTAATACTTTGTAATGTCCAAATTAAATGAATTACTTCAAGTCTTATGTTTATGAGCCAGCATTAACCAGTTGCAGAAATTTTAAGATTATTTTAGTGTAAATTATTTTTATTTTATACACTATACTGTTCAAAAGTTATAGTGGCTGCATTTCTTTAATGTCAGCAGTTTAAAAACAGTAAAAGTAATATTTTAAAATATCATTACAATTTAAAATAACTGCTTTCTATTTGAATTTGAAGAATCTATTCTATTTGACAATGTAAAAAATAGTATTTCAGTATTCTCTGATGAATATAAAGTTCAATTTATGGCATTTATTTGAAATAGAAAACTTTTTTAACAGTCACTTTTAATAAGTTTAATGTGTCCATGCTGAATAAAAGTTAAAAAAAAATATATATATATATCTTATTAGTGTCCTGCAATATATATGCAAATATTTTACAATTGTTTTGAAATCTTTGTGAGGGCATTCTTTCAAACCATAAAAACTTAAGGAAATTAGACCATTCCGAATATCATACTGTATATAGAGCAAAATGAGATATAATTTCTCTGGGAAGGAGCTGATGTGTGTCTAAATTATTTTTGACAATCTAAGGAAAAACACAGGCAACAGTGCCCTCTGTTGAGGAATTCTGAAATTACACTGAACTAACTACTATGATCACAAGGATTAGTGTGGAATTTCTCATGTAAACCAAAATTGTACACTTTTTAAATAGTCAGCATATTTAACACTGTTTTCAAATGTATATAATACATGAGAGTAAAAAAACGTTTAAATGATCTGTTTTCAAAGGTTCTGAATTGATTTGTAGTGGGTATCATGACAATTACCGTGATAACGTCTCCAGCCTTTATGTTGAGGCTTGTCAGGTCGTAATTGTTGCAGTAGTCCTTCAGGGCCCTGACCTGCAAGGCTGCTGAGGCATCTGCACAGAGATAAGCAGACATAAACTGCATGATCTACTTCACATCCCTTATAAACACATGACCACATAAGGGATCTATATCTAAAAAAATGTCTACCATTTTATTGCCACCCCGTTGTCTTACCTCGTAGCATCTGCTTGATTTCCCGGCTGGCCTGTGTAGCAGTGAACTGATAGACGATATCCAGCGCTGTCTGGCTGAATGTGTTTCTCACTGCTGCATTGATGCCACTCTGTAGGGAGAAGGATAAAGCAATATTAGATCATGTTTGGGCAATGAGACAATAAAGTTTGATATTTTTACTTACCAGATAAGAAGGTATATAAAAACTCAAAACAATTCGTTTTCAAAGTAATTCAATGTATAGTGTTGGGATAGGGCAATGGATATCCAACCTTTTCAGGTCAGGTGATGGACTACTTATAGGCCACCTAACAGGCCAAATCTGAAGGCAACCACCATATCATTCAATGTAGAATTAGACAAGACTAAATAAGTGGGCTGTTCACCAGTGGAGTTGGATTAAGACAATTATGTATTCTGAGGTATTACGGTCAGGTATACTATTAATACTTCATTACAAATCAATGTTAAAACAAACAGTGAGGGTAAATCTATCAGTAAATTAACGTTGGTGCTTACTGACAATTAGTGATGTTATTTTATTAGGCTGCCTGTTGTTGTGCACTAAATTCCCTTCAGGGATCAATACGGTTTCTGTCTACTTACATCCAGCAGGAGGCGCACTACGTCAGTCTTCCCACACAGTGCAGCCTCATGGAGAGCAGTGCCCGCTTTGGTCTGCCTGTTGATATCGATGCCCGCCTGGATCAGCAGTCTATTGAGAGTGGATAAAATTAGTAACTAGTCTGACACAACCACTGAACACCACCGTGATCAAACTGTTCACATCCGAGGCCAGAATTCAAGCCTAGATTTTCGCTTTAAGCTTGTTATTATTGTCCGCATGTTGCCATCACTTATGTGAGGGATAATATAAAGTCATTACAGACATCAGTGATCATCTTCCTGATGAGGTTTGTTATGCAATCATGACCAGCTGGCTGTACTGTATATTAGCCTGCTTATACAGCTACTTACAAGATAAATAAATAGTCATGAATTAGTTAAAGGGATACTCTACTTTTTTTTGGAAATAGGCTCATTTTACCACTCCCCCAGAGTTAAACAGTTGAGTTTTACTGTTTTCGAATTTATTCAGCTGATCTTTTGATATTTAGAAGAATGTCAGTAACCAGACAGTTTCTGGTCTCGGTGTCTGGTTACTGATATTCTTCTAAATATCAAAAAATCATCTGAATACATTCGAAAAAACGAAAAACTCAACTGTTTAAGTGGAAAATGAGCCTATTTGCAAAAAAAAGTGGAGTATCCCTTTAATAAAATGTTATTATCATGCAAGAAAAACAAACCACAGAATAATACGAGAGGCAGTGTATGAGATTGGTTTCTGAGTAGAATATACAGTTTAGTTATCACTATATAAAATATTTGACAGCAGAATGCCACATTTGACCAATCAGAATCTAATATTCCAGAGAGCCATGTAATTATGTTAAACTTGTAAGTACTGAAAATTGTTCCCCCCCAAAAAACCAAAAACAGCCTCCTGACGACTGAAGAACCTCTATTAAATAGACTATGACCTTCTGACACTAGAGTAAATTCAATTACGGCAGCGGGACATCAGCAAACACAGGTGGCCTGAGTCATGGCTTCAGAGAGGAGGATGGGAAACAGGGTGAGAGCAGAGAACTTGGCCCTGGCATGGTATCAGACACATCCCCTATAATTAGCTATCCAAATGACCCTTTTTAGCTTCACATAATGCCCTCTTGGAAAACACAGGGGATTAAAAAGCATATTGACTGGCTGGGTGAGCACACATTGGTCTGACTGTGTGCAGAGCCGTCTGTCACTCAACATGGGCCCACACCGGGAACCATAGTTTCTGCTAGTGGGCAAATGGGCACACATTTAATTAAATGTATGAGAGCATTAACACATGTACATGACATTAAGCTTAGGAGACACCGTTTTAATATGAAGGTAACAGCTTTGGTTAGAGGTGCCATGATCCATTTCTTTCACAGATATGAACAATGAAGCCTTTTTTCAAATTTTCCCTCACCACATCAATCTGTTTAGGGTCGACAAATGCGTACGGCCTCTAGGGTTACTGGATTAATGATGTAATTAACTGCCTTGTGATAGCCCACACTGTTGCTGTAACCTGCACATTCACATGGTCTATAATTAGCTCCAGGCTGATCAGAGCTGGGCTCGTGCTGGATTGGTGAGAGAGGTAGGTGTGCGTGCTGTGTGGGCACATGTACCTTATTCTAATGTGAGGCACTGAAACACTTACAATTCAGGCAGGCTAATTAATGATGAGTGTCAATGCCCAGTGATAGACCTGACCATCACATGGAGATGTTCCTTTATGATACTGACCAAGTACACTGTAAAAAATATTGTTGGTTTAACTTAAAAAATTAAGTAACCTGGTTGCCTTAAAATTTTAAGTTGATTGAAATGGAAAAATTGAGTTAATACAATGAAGGAGATTGATTTAATAATCAGAAACTCAAAATAATAAGTTATCTGAACTAAATAAATTATTTAAGTTGATTCGACAAAAGAAAAACTGTTGTGATAACAAATCTTGAAATTATTTTTTTACAGTAGAATAACTTGTCAATTCATAGTTTGTTTGTTACTTACCCCAAACCATCACAGTTTCCAAAAAAATAATAAGCAGCACAATTGTTTTCAACACTGACGATAAAATAAATGTTTCGTAAGCAGCAAATCATCGTATTAGAATGATTTCTGAAGGAACATGTGACACTGAAGACTGGAGTAATGATGCTGAAAATTCAGCTTTGACATCACAGGAATAAATTACATTACATTTTAAAATATATTCAAACATATATTTACAATATTACTGTTTTTACTGTGTTTTTGATCAAATAAATGCAGCCTTGGTGTAAATAAGGGCCGGTTCACACAGAACGTGTTTTTTTTTGTCTGTTAAAAATGTGAGACGCAGGTGTTTACATTGAAAAACGATGGAAAAGTAGAACCGTGAAATGGAAAATTGCGTTCTGTGAGCGTTCATAGCCCCTATATGAAATCTAAAAGCCTCTTCTAAACAAAATGATTAAATTTCATGCACTTCATTTTGATTTGATTTTGATTTTCAATGTAATTACATTTTTAGTATTGCTTCTGGTTTTGTCATTTTATTCTTATTTGTATACATGTTTTTATAAAAGTTTATTTCAGTTTATTTTTTTTAGTATATTGAGTTAAAATAAATTAAAAGGTTTGTTTCAGTTATGGTTTATTTTAATTCAAGTAACCAAAACTTGGCAAGCACTCTCTATGGGTCCCAGGTTTAACAAGTAATAAAAAATAAAAACACCCCTGCAGTAGAACAATGAAAAACAGTCACATGTTGACATCTGTATTCACATAGTATTGATCCTTATTGACAACTGCACTGATAGCTCTGATAGTTCCTCGGGGCTTGAGACTGAAACTGTTCCATCATAATCATAATCATAACCAGAGAGTTTACATTTAAAAGCAGTTTAATTTGAGATACCCACTGGAATAAAAGGAAAAGTAAGACTAAAACTTGTTTCATAAAAATCAATCATACTGTATATGGAACATTTGTGTATGATGCTTGTGATTAATGTGTTAGTCCGACTGTTGTCCAACAAAATGTCTGACGTGCAGTGTAGCATTCGCATAGTACAAAGGCAGGACAGTGCAGAACACCTCTGATCTTCATCTCATCTCTGTCTGATCATGGAGGAGGTCTGGCTGTCACAATGATTGATGGCAGTGTGTTGTATAAGGGAGTGGATGGGGCCTGGCGCACCCTTAGGAATACAGCCGGGTGCGTGCACCTTAACCATGCTCATGTTCCCAGTGGAAAGAAGGAAAGATGCCCTTCATCACAAGCAGGCGCAGCTGGTTGTGCACAGATACGACAGCTCGAAATCGATGCACCACTTGTCCAGTTTCTAACGCACTTGGGCTGATGCAAGAAATGCATGGCTGAGCCGAGATCTGGAACAATGGATTTCTCATTCAATGTAAATAGTTACACAAGGACCTTTGGGCATGTATATGATAATGCAGTGGAGAGTCACATGATAATTGACTTATGGCTCATCAAAGAGTTTCTCTAATTAGCTTATTTCTGAGCTCCAGGCCAGTTCTGATGATGCTCAGATCTCATAACACACGCACGCAAAGATCAACGGCTCAGTCAAAATGGGTGAGTGTGAAAATTAACTGTGAAACAAAGCATGACGTTTGTTTGTTTTTATGTGGCTAAAATAAAATAAAATAATTTTATATAAAAATATATATATTTCAGATGCAATTATATATTTCATAACTCTGGTGTAGTGTTAATTACAGCCTATTACACTTACACACTCAATGGAAAAATACATTTTTTTGCCCCCAGAATAGTGTAGTTCAGACTATGGACAACTTGACCCCTTCGTCCAAACAATGGCTTGGGGAATTACTGGTTATGCAATTCTGTTTGATTCCAGTGGTGCAGAAATGCCTTTGTTGAACATGATGGATATTGTATTACATGTTGGGTGATTGACTCTCTCATGAGCGGCAGTAAATCCAGCACTTCTGACCTGCACACACTGCTTGCATCATCATCACATGCCCATTGGCTGCTCATTAGCATCAGTGTCTGTTTGCCATCTCTCTTCATCCAGCACATGGATCCATTTACACTAAAACACACACAGTGTGTCCCAGCGTCACAGAACACCAATGGATCATAAAGTCAGCTTCCATTAATATAATGTAGGCTTTTCCCTCCCCCATCTACATTTCCATCCCAGAGCTCCAGTATGCTAGAATGTTTTGATTGTGTTTATGACCATGACTAAAACAACTTTCTTAGCTCTTAAAAAGAAAACTGCTGATTCAGATAAAATGCAGAGTGATTCAAAGTACAATACCAATGATCTTTGTTTAAATCAGTATTTTTGTCTTGCTTTTCTTAACAAAATAAATTGACATGTGATGCAAAATTGCATAACAATAGGACAGTTCATTTATCAAAATACTTTGTTGTGATTCATCTCAACATTTAAATGAATAACACTGCAATCACAATATAATCCAAACAAATTTTTGCATTCCACTGCACTGATTTTCCATGCACCAGCCAGGCATATCTGATCATTCTGATCTAGTCTTTTGCAGCGTTTTGTGGATATGCGTTCTAAAAATGTGGCGTTCAAGTTAAAGAACAACCTTTAAAAAAACATACCTTACTTTTCTTTCATTCCACTGCTCTGCGTCTTACAGTTTTAAACTCAAAAACACATGAGAAAGGCCTTTGAGTGTGTTTAAATGATATTTAAATTTTACATCATTTTAAAAGTTCAATTTAAGTCTTAAGCAATAAATCATCTTTTTAGATTTTCATGTAAAAGCTTTAGTCTTACTGAAATCTAGCTCACTCAAACAGTAGAGGCACTAGCCACACTAAGGTCATGGCCTTGAACTGAAAAGAACTGAAAAGATGTATAGTTTGAATGCAATGCAAGTTGCTTTGTATAAAAGCATGTAAATGCAACCAGTCTGGTTACATGCAGGCTTTATCAACTGGCCTTGCTGTTGTGTGCACACTCTGAAAGACATAAGTGACATGCAATGTGTATTTAATCCTTTAAAAATTCAGTTAAATATTATTACATGTAGCTGGCTTGACATTTGAAGACTGTAGCTCGACTATACAAAAACCTGCTTCACCTTGATTGTGACAGCATGTAAACACTTATTGAGGACGTAAATAGTCGCCTGCCTTAATAAGAAAACAAATATGAACATGTGAATTCATAGATAGGACATCATTTTGCTTTTCTCTTCACAATGAGAAATGATTCAAGTGTTCTTTCTTAATTTTACTCAAACTTTCCTGTCTCATCCCAGAACTGCTGCAGGTTTTAATCAATACACACAATCTCTGAAATTTAAAGCATTCCTCTGGGTTTTGATGCCACAGAGAATCTGGATTGTTTCTTACGCGTGATGCTGTGGGCTGTACAATTTCCTTTCACACAAACAACAGGTTTACAGATGAGTAGTGTGATGTATATTTTTGCCTGTAATATATGAGGCACAAATCCCGCCAGCAGCTTCTGACTGTCTTAGGAAAAACCTGTTAAAGAATTTCAGTATGTGTTGTATATGACCGAAGGGGTATCAAAGGGGTATCCTTCAGAGCATCAAATGTAAATGCTAATTTCTATGCTAATGCTAATACATATACTACATTCTACATTTCATTTCATTTTATTTGGTTTATCATTAACAAATATACAGCAACAAATATTAAACTCATCATAACATAACTTTTGATTAAACCAAAGGGTTTAGGCTGAAGCTCAAGGCTTATTGACGCCTATCCCTCTCAGTTTTTACAACAGTCAAACAGTGCTCAGTTCTCTTCTTGCAACCCTTGAAACAACAAAGTCATAGATTTTAATTACCCACACCTATCTATATGAAAGTATCATCTTGTTTCTTAGGAGCCGTTTAAATCCACTTATTGTTTGTGTCAATTTTAGATCTATATGCAAACAATTCCATAAATTCACTCCTCTTACAGAGATAGTTCTACATCTAGTATTTGTTCGTACCTTCATTTTTTTAAACAAACATATTCCTTTCAACTCATACCTACAATAACGTTTCTCAAACATACTCAAAATTTTATCAGGCAGCATTTTACATAATGTACTACTACTTATAAAAATGAACAATAATGAATGTATTATGGACGAACACAAATAATTGAATAACTGCATATTTATTATTATAGGTAAACATAATAATGATAATATACTAATTAAATTAGTTAAAAATTAACCCAGATTAATAAATAATGTGAAAATCTTTCCTTTAGAGTGACGTATAGTTACATGTTTCTACATGTACAGTAATAAAACTAAATTATGCATAATTACAAGTAACAACCCTAAACCAAACTCTAACCGTAACTCTATAGTAAGTACAGTAGTTAAATAATATTAATCATTTCTAATTTGAGTAAGTACAATGTAACCTCGTCACCTTAAAATAAAGTGTAACCAAATCTTTTGCATATTGTTAATTAATGACACCAAATGCAGTAACTAATGTTAACTAAAAAAAAAAAAAAAAACGGATTGTAAAGTGTCACCAAGTTTTCTTATCCCAAGATTATTTAGTGGCAAGAAAAGGTGAACTGATTTTCCTTCGGTGTCTGATAAACTTTGTGCAACATCGACCCGAGTCTGAGATTTAGAAAGGCGGACTGGAGGTGTGACTTCTATTCTCTGAAAAGCATTCAAGCCACGCATCCTGTCTTTCTATCAGAGTCTTGGGGCTCAGAGTGCTCACCTGATGATATCGATGTGTCCATTCTTGGCAGCGAGATGCAGTGGGCTGGTGCCGTTGGGATCAGTCGAGTCTCCGGGTTTGGGCTCCAACAGAGCTGCACACATGTTACTGCTCAGCAGCAGCTGGACCACCTGCAGGGCAAACAGAAGACCATACACACACACACAAAAGCCAATTACAGACAGAAACAAAAAGATATGCAAGTAATTTGACAGTACCAAAAAAAAAGCAACATGTGACTCACCCCAACACGGCCGAATTCACAAGCCAAGTCTAATGGCGTCTTCCCAGCATTGTCCATTATGCAGGGGTTCGACTGGTGCTGCAGAAGCATCTCAGACTGTGGACAGGTAACCAGCTGTTAGTTGCATTTATCACTACCATAGCCACTATTGTCAAAGTTTTCATTTTAATATAGTAAAATATTAAATGTAAGTATATATATATATAACATTTCTAAAAACATATTATTCCACCTATTTTTACATTTAGCTCAAGAATCAGTTAATCTTAAAATATATACCCAGTGAGCTGTATGGAAATAAATAAAAAATAAATAAATATTGATTTACATTTTTTTTTTGTTTTATTTAAATTGTTTTATTGAAAATGTAAATTTATAAATTTTATGTTTTATTGTTTAATTTTTTATTTTGTTATTTTAGACAATATAATATAGAATTTTTATGTAGGTTATCAATCATAATAACAGATTACTAATACCAGGATTTTAATATTGTGATTTTCCCCAGGGTGTGATTTGTGAAAAAAGCAGGTTGGGGTTAGAGGATTTTTTTCATAATCGGGATGCGCTCATACACAACAACAACAAAAAAATTAAACTCTAATTTAACATGCCAGAATTAAAACCTGTTTTGAACATAGAATGGTTCTACAGGGGTTCTAACAGGGCACTATTAAACGAAAACAAGATGATACTGTAATAATAGTATATTGGAAAAACACATTTGGCGAACGCACCAGTGTGTATTGGTGATTGCGCTCTGGAGAACGTTTACAAAGTGTTTTAGCAGCGTTGAGCAATGCAGCCAATCACAGACATGTTCTTTGATCTCTTGAGCACAGTGGCCAATCAGAGGTGTTTGAGTGTTTAAGTCACAATCCAGTCACTACTCAAAAAGCCAGCTTTTTTTCTTCAGTGCTGAGTTCTGCACGTTCAAATCGTATCATTGTAACAACGTATAGGTGCAATGTAAATAAGAGATTTAGAGACAGCTTATTATAATGGGATTCTGAATCCCTTTCATTTACTTTCAAATTGGCAAGCTGATTTTATGTCGAAATATAGACTACTATGATGTTTCGTGACAAAAAAAGCTGTGCATGGATTAAGGCCACTGGAACCAGGATCATCACGTATCCAAAACGCACAATGTCAAAGAATTATAGCCGCTGTATGTACTGAAGCTGCCTCTTCACTAAGTGGTAGAAACTCTGACTGAGAAAGAGGTAAAGGCATTGTGTTTTATTACATGCATGTGTGTGTGGGATGATCTTGCTTCAAAGCATTTACTCATCAGGCACAACACTCCTGTGCACCGGCTGAAATTTGCTAATCATTATCACATTTGAGATTTCTATATTGAAGTGAAAAAAAAATTGGTGATATATTATCACATTTTAATTTACTAAAGGGACCATTTGCGTGTGTGTTTTTTATGTGATGATTTGTGTAAATCACACACTGATTTATGTGTTTGTGTACATCATAATCGAAGTCCTCAGACATCAGAGGCCTCATTTATAAGCGGTGCGTACGCACAAAACAGGCCCCGAAAGAAGCGTACGCCATTTCCGATGCATAAGTTGTGATTTATAAAAACAAACTTGACGGGAAAATTTGAGCACCTGCACGCAAACTCTGACCCATGCGTCCAAACATTTTGGAGATCAAGCAGTTTGGCGACACCGATGGTGAGCTGAGGGACTGACGGCAGACGAAGGAAAACCACCTAAATCTTCGTAATGAGTCCTAATCATAAATACAGTGCATGTTCACAATAACAATTTAAATAAATAAAATAATGAATTAAACTCTGATATACACATTTAGATTAAATATGCCATTTTTGTTAGGCACTTAAATTGTAATTTAGTTGAAATCATTAAGTTACAGTAAAAAATATTTGTAATGTTTTAACTATAGCGAGAATTGCTTAGCACATGATAATAGCAGAAAATATTTTTGTGGAAATAATGATCAATAATGCACAATAAGGCCTATCTGTTTCCATAAAAAAATATAAAGCAATTAAAAATACTATTTGGCCAGTGGAAAAGACTGAGAAAAACGTTTTCTGAAATGCAATTTATACTATTTTGATTTATTTATTTAAAAATAAGGCAAGGCTACTAAATGGTTTTTAGCGATGTAATGTGACGGCACATCCGTATCTCATATTTTCCTACAGTCTTGTACTGTTAAACATGGTATCACGTGGATAAATATGGATATGCTAATGACGATATGCATAGTAAAACTAGGCGTTGTAAGCCCCATATGGTTATTTCGGTTATTTTTGTTAACATTCTCATTGGCCATTTGAAAACTTAAAAATAGTGCATTAAATGGTAAGAGGGCATCAAGGCAGCTTCACTTCCTGTCTCCTTACATAATTTTATCTGACTGATTATTGAAGGCAGCTTAGATGTATCCTTCGCTGCTTCGTTGAGTTGAGCAGGATCGGTGAGCTTCTGTTTATGTTTGCTGATCAATTTTAATTTGTGAATTAGCCTAAATTAAATCTGTTCATCATGTAAAGCAATCGTGTCTCTTTAGAAAATTTGGACTAAACCGCTCAATTCATATGAATACGTTTTATGATCTCTTCATTTTTTGAAGCATCAAAGTGGAAGTTGTGTCAATGGAGGGACAGAAATCACACAGATTTGTTCCGAAGGTGAACAAAAGTACAGGTTTGGAACGACATGAGGCTGAGTAAATCATGACAAAATTTTCATTTTTGGATGAACTAACCCTTTAAAGATGATTTTTTTGAATCCGGCCCCAGGTTCTGGTTTCAAGTTGTAAGTATCCAAAACAGCATGTTGGATCTTTTATTATACAGTGGACATGGTGTTGTAGCATTATGTACTCACTACGTCATAGTGTCCGTGCTGAGCGGCCAGGTGCAGGGGGATCTGACCCTCATCAGACTGACCGTTCACAGAGGAACCTGACTTCAGCAGCAACTTCATGGGTTCAGACTTTCCCTGCCATGCTGCATAATGCAGAGGTCGCATCCCTGGAACACGAGAGGAAAGACTTTTGATAGTACTGCACAACACATTCCTGAAACATACATGTAGAGTTAAGCTTGTTTAAGATCGTTAGGAACTGACAACTAAAGCAATCCACTACTTTTTTATGTGCATAAATATTTTTCTGGTACCTTTCTGGTCCCTGATGTCAACTAAGGCCTGAGAGTCCACCAGCAGTGATATAACCTCCACATTTCCATTGAGAGCTGCATGGTGCAGTGGTGAGAATCTGTGAATAACACAAAAAATGACACAAAACATAAACAGGATGTACAGATTTTACAACTGTGCGCCATTCAGAATCAGTAGCCTTGTTTGCTACTTCCATTCAAATATACCTCTATAAATACACAGAGGGAGAGAGAGAGAGAGAGAGAGAGAGAGAGAGAGAGAGAGAGAGAGAGAGAGAGAGAGAGGAGAGAGATTAGATTAGTTGAAACAGAAAGCCTAAAAAATCTTTTAAATCAAACAAAACCAACATCACCACCTGTTTTGGTGGATTTCAAGAAAAATCCCCCTCTCTCATCGACAAACAAACTCCAGTATATTCAGGTGTCAGACACGGCTGGAACTTCAAAAGGGATTCTATGGTAAGATGAAACTAAAAAAAAAAGGAAGCTTTTTGGCAGAAAACCTACCAGATTGGTTTTGTGCAAACATGAATAAAAAGTACCCCGTGCCCACAGTTAAATATACTGCTGGATCTTTAATGTTGTGGGCCTATTTTTTTCCTGGAGGTCATGGACATCTTGTTCAGATGCAGAACATGGTATCATGGATTCTAGCAAATACCAACAGATAAAATAATCAAAACCCAATGCCCTCAGCTAGAAATCTTATAATGGGGAGTGGTTGGTCCTTCAATCCAAAACAAACATCAAAATTAACACAAAAATAAGTCACATAAGCTTCTGCCATGACCATCCTCGTCCCCTGACTTGAACCCTACAGAAAATGAGTGGGCTGAACTGACGAGAAGCAACATCAACATGGATCTGGGAATCTGAAGGATCTGGAGAGATTCTGTATGGAGGAATGGTCTCTGATCTCTTTACAGGTGTTCTCCAAACCAACAGGCATTATATGAGAACACATTAAAGGAGCTCTAATCTTAGCAAAATGAGGTTACAAAAAGTATAAAAGGGTGTCAATGATTGTGACCACAACAATATATATATATATGTGTGTGTGTGTGTGTAATAATTAGAAATAACCAAGTTCAGTAAATTTCTCTTCCTGCCATTTCAGTTCAACATATTGTGGGATGTGGCCAATTCAATTAAATTCCTAACTCCTCAACTCAAATGTAAGTATATCCTTCTGAACTTTGTCCATCTGTGTTAGATTAATATTACAGTGCAACACTGCAACATGCAACACATACAGCAGCTGCCTCTGAGATGCATACCATCTGACCATATTGCACTGCCAAACATATGATACTAACAGCACTTGAAGAGTTCAGATGCAAAAGCCTCTAAGTGCCATTTGAAATGTTCTTCTAAAATGATCATTTTTATCAAGCTTGTATATTTAAGTTCAGTGATTTCACATACATTGCAATGATAATTACCTATTAATTGTTATTTAAGTGAAATTACTGAACTTAAATATACAAGTTTGATAAATCATCATTAAAGAAGAAAATTTCAAATGGCATTTAGAGGCTTTTGCATCTGAACTCTTCACTTGTTAATGTCTCTTCAGCAAGACCACATCACCTGCCTTATAAAGGACTTAGTAGACAATACTGTCAACCACATATACTTGAATTATGACTTTTACAGGACTGAAATTTGAAGTTAATCCGAGAAGCCTGTGTTTGAGCAAGAACCTCAATCATCAGTGTGCATGTGTTTGCTCAGCTGTTTAGCTTGTGCAACTCACTGATTATAAAAGCAGACAGTTCAGCCAAAAGCAGTACTACAGCCTACAGGATTTAAATATAAACATACAGCTATGAAACTGCCCTTAGACAAATCAATTAAGTAATAGATGTATAAGACCAAAAATTGATATGCCCAAAATGAATTCTATCTCTTTTCTAAAGACTATCTACATAAGAGACAGTGGCAAATTCCTGAAGAACTGGTTGAGATAACACTGTTCTCTGCGGGTACATGAACGCTGAATGGCCGCTGAAGGTCTGGAGCTCTTTTTCTGAAAACATCTAAATAAATTGTCAAATATATGAGCTACATTAATATATAAGTCACACATTTGAGGTCTAAATAACTCTTAAAACTACATTTTGTGACATTATCCTGGGGGAATATCGCATGGCTGGAAAAGGCTCTTAGCCAATCAGCTTCGAGAACCAGAAATATAGAACTGTTTATACTTATATTAATATTAATTATGCTATATAATATAAATAACTGAGACTTATTTTGTTGCTTATTTTAAATAGAAATATATCAACTATAATACCCCCCACCCCTCCCCCCTCATGATTTAAATGAGTACATTAATACAATTCAGATACGGTATATTCCAGTTTATATATATATATATATATATATATATGTGTGTGTGTGTGTGTGTGGTGAAGGCAAAAAGCCCTTATTGGATTTTCTGTCACAGCTCACTTTCTGTGATTGGTGCATGAAATATGCTGTAACCATAGCTACAGTTGTGAACGTAAACCCTCAGCTCAGAGTAGAATACTAAACTCACAGAAACCCGGTCTGACCAATCTCCTATCTCACTGGCACTATCATGCATGTTTGCACTGTGCCACTGCAGAAGAGCTGCTGGCCAGTCTCCCCACCAAACGTCCCCCCTTTCCCAGACTCTCATGCAATACAATATTCATGTTCCCTTCACTCGGTGGCACTTTCTCTATTAGTAGGTCAGATACAGTAAGCCCTGTTTATTCATATCCATGTATGAATTTCTTTTTCTCATGCGTCACTATAGCAAGATAGAGGTAAGCACATATCACATATACACAAGTCACCTGACCTACTTTTCTTAATGAGGGTACTAAAGCCCGAGGCGTTCCCTCGAAAGGAAGCACAATCAGCACTCCTCCAGCAGAATGTCTAATCAGATATTGTTTATATATGGTATCTGTGCAATTTCTAAAGATATTAAGTAAAGACACTTATAATCTTACAAAGAATTCTATTACAAATAAACGCTATTCTTTTAAACTTTTTATTTGTCAAAGAATCCTGAAAAAATACACAAAAATACTGTTTTTATTAATAATAATAATAAATATCTCTTGAGGAGGAAATCAGCACTTATAATTTATTTCTGAAGGATAATGCTGATCAGTGTGAAGGATCATCATAAGACTGCTGTAATGATGCTGAAAATTCAGCTTTGCATCACAAGAATAAATTACATTTGAAAGTATTTTAAAACAGAAAACAATTATTTTAAATTGTAAAAAATTTTCACATTATTACTGTTTTTTTTCTGTATTTTGAATCAAAAAAATGCAGCTTTGAGCATTAGAGACATAGGAAACATTAAAAATTGCACTGACCCCAAACTATACACACGGCACACGCCAAGAAATTAAATATATATGTATATAATGTGTATAAAATAATATAAGTATATTATATATGTGTTAATATAGTTACAGTATATATATAATATGTAATATGTTAATATGTATATAATATAGTTAAATGTAATTATATTTTTTTCAAATGTGGACCCAAATGTACATATGTTACACTGACTCACAAAATGAATATATTACACACAGACTCTTGAGTTATCGATACCGGAATAACAATCATGCCCTCAAGGCATACGTAATCATTTTATTAACACTTTACTGGAGTAATTATAACAATAGGGGGACTGCGGAATGGTCAAAACACCATTTTTAACGATCTCCTCGGTCGAATGTTGCCATTCCAAAGCCATGTTTACACCGCTACTCAACCTGCGCCGGAAGTTCTTGGCAGAATCAGGAAGTAAACCGGATGTGCCCGGGAAACTTGTCTATATAGAATCATTTAACTTGTCCGTACAAATGTACTGTAGAAATGTCACAGTACTAAAATTTGGCAACCATGTAAAATAAACAAAAACCTCGTCCAATGGGTCACAGCAGAGCCATGACGCTACAAGCTCTGCAGACTGTATATGACCTCCACATTTCACTGTTAATTCGAATGGTGTTTCTTCAAATAGAATAAACTGTTGCTCTTCCATCAATGATCTCAACATTTGTTTTTTGGCAGACACATAAAATTAATCCAGGGTAACAATCCAGGCACATCTACTGCTTTACTGGCTCTTAAACATTTACCTCCAACAAAATGCCATCAAACGAGACAATCCTACATGTCGGTGTAGTATCCGTTTCTGAAATATTTCAGCTCTGCTGTTTTTCAGTTGTTCTTTCGCTGTAACACGTTCATTTGAAGGCAGGTTTCATATTGTTTTATTGAAGGTGGAGGCAGCAAAACAACAGGCTCTTCCTGGCTCATAAATCAAATTTTGCTCCACAATTGCTCCTCTAGAGCTCACATTTGAGGGAATGATCTCAGATAAGAAAGAACATTAAGCCTCTTATGAGAGCACTTATTATCACAAGATGTCTGTTAGCTCTAATACCGAAGATAGTATAGATGTCATGATGTGTGTATGGCACTGCTAGTATGCCCTACTTGTGTAAAAAGGAACATGTAGTCTTAGTGGTATTCGGTAAATGCTTAACCTACTATTCTTCACCACAATGGTAACCCCACAAATCCCAGACATAACAGAAACCCCTTTTAAATTCCAGCACAACAGAACTTTAAACATTACTGTCACTTTTGATAAATTTTATGCATCTTTGATGAATAAATATATTAACTTCTATCAAAATCTTCCACTACAGTACGGCCTACAGTAATTTAAAAGGCCTACAGTAATTGAATGATCTTAAATATACTGTTACTGACCTATGCTACTTATCGGACCAATTCAGATTTAATTGTTTACCAGAACTCTTGCTCATATGAAAAATGTTTAAACTAATGTCATCTTTTATGAATTAGTTGCATGGCTTCAAAGCAACTCACAGTGTGGCTTTCACTGAATTGATTTGTCTTGTTATATTGATTGGCAGCAATAACAGGAACTTTTAGTATATTAAAAATCTTAAGATGACGAATTGCATGGGAGAAACTGCAGAGTTGCAGTTCATGAACTGAAAAGTCATAATTAACTGATTGGGTTTAGACAGAACAATTAAGACTTTACTAATGCTCACTG